TGTGTGTGTGTGTGTGTGTGTGTGTGTGTGTGCGTGTGTGTGTGTGTGTACCCAGTGTAGTTGGGGCAGCATTTCATCTCCAGCAGACCCGTCTGGTCGAGAGCGCAGGCATAGAGATCGATGATGTGACCATTTGTGGACGCTCTGTTGGCTAGAGACTCAAAGTGCTGCAAAGACACACACACACACACACACACACACACACACATATTGATCACACAGTCGGTATATTTAGATGCACAGCCGAGTTGGACAACTGTTAACCCTGTAATGCCAACTGTATCATATTTGATACGTACGGTTTCTGAAGTGTTTTGCGTCTGACACCTTTTTCATAATTTAATGGTAAAAAATTTGCTCAAAATCTTATTGTACACAATCAGATACACCTGATAACAGGGGGCAGAAGACTACACAAAAAATAATCTTGACCTATCGCATAGTAATAAATTAATAATATAAAAAATATATTTTTGTTTTTTCTTTTTACATATTTTGTTAAAAGGCCAAATAAAGACTTATATCCCAAAAAAAAGTAATTTTTTGTTTTGTTTTATTCTTGGATCAGGCTTTAAAGGGGTTAAGAGTTTAATACGACCATTTAACTGAATCAGTGTCCCCCTCTAAGTACACACACACAGGATGGAGCTGCAATAACTGATCGTCTGCTTTCGAGTGTGTCAGTAAGTCATGATCCAATGATCCAACTGCACCTTTCTGGGTGTGTTAATACAACTTTTTGGGGCTGGGGGGGTTTGACTTAATACCAGTGAACTATCACAATAATATTTTCCCAGTGTAATGTAAACATGGAATTGATACCCAACTACAACTCCTCTATTAAAAAAAGATAATGTCTATTCTTTACGAACGTCCGCTTCTTTCCGGGTGTGGGTCTCACTCACTTTGGTGGCTTTCTTCATGAACTTGGCGTTGTCCTTTTCGATGTCGTGCCAGGACCTGATGGGCGTCTTCAGCTCGTCCCCCACGACCATGCCGGGCCCCTGGGTTGCCGGGCCCCCAACGAACGTCATGATGCGGGCGCCGGTGTTGGGGAAGGTGCACTGCGGGTACAGCAAGCGGACAGACTCTGTCTAGCATCCACACGGCTCTGACCCGGGTTCATTAGCCCCCACCTCCTGTCCTCACCTCCAAAAGTCCTACCGCAATGGACATGGCAACACCCAGTGAGCGCAGGGGTCTCTTACCCTGGGTGACGGGCCAGGGGTCCCGCTGAAGCTCACCCAAGAGGTCGGTCAGGTTCATATCAATCTTCTGCACGGGCTGCAGGAACCTGGAGCGGAAGTCACATCCAGTAACACTGACACTAAAGGCACACCCAATATGAGCCCTTCCTTAAAACGCCCCAGATTTACCTGTTGGACAGAGGCTGCGGGGCAGTCTGAGGTCCTCGTCCCTGAGCAGTTGAGGGTTTGGTCAGACCCAGCATCTCCTGCAAGAAACATTACCTGTTAACGTGTTCGTTGCAAGACTTGAGGGCCTTAACCTCAACCTGGGACTAGGGATGCAAACGGTTAATCGACTTTAGATTAATTGTCGATCAAGAGGTTGCTCGATCAAAACGTATTAATCACGATTAACCGCTAGAGGGTGCTAGCGCTTTACTGTAACTTGAACACAGCGTGATATCGAGAACACGCCTCGTGTCGCGAGAGAGACCAGGGTCGAAAACAAAACGAAGCGGGCGAAAATAAGTGCGGTGTGTGACCACTTCGATATTGTTAATTCAGGCAAAGAAGGTTGTCATAGCGACTGTCCGCGACCACAAAAACAAAAACGTTGGGGCGTTAGCCAGCCAGCTCGCTAGCATAGCCACCTATCCGTTAGCATTAGCATCAGCCGGAGAGATGATAGCGCTCGTCAACAAACTGCTGGACTGGTTCAAGCAGTTTGTTGACGAGTGCTATCATGCAAGAACTGAGCCAGGTTTTTTTTTTAATTAAAGATTTTGTTTTACCTTAAAAACGTGTCTGCTTTCTTCTCCTAATGCATAATTACTTGAGGAATGTATAATATAATACAATATAATTATGGTATCATAATGTTGGCTAATGTAATATAATACCTCAATTATATTAAGGCCCTATTGAAGCCCTGAAACTCAGGTGAAAAACGCCGCTTTTATCAATTAATCGAAAGTCGATCGATAAGATAATCAACTAACGATTAATGAATTAATCGATAATTTGCATCCCTACCTGGGACCGTCCGTTTGTAAAGTAAGGTGAGCGGGTCCTGTGTGGAGGAGCATTTCTGATCTACCTGCAACTGCTTGGCGCTGAGGTCCTTGGCCCCCCTGAAGACGTAGCTCTTGGAGATGCCCTCGCAGCCCAGCTCATGGACCTGAACCATGCGGCCGAAGGTGATGAGCCCGACCAGGGCGGTGGGCGGCAGCAGGGACAGGGACATCTGCAGGGACTCCTTCAGCGCCTGCAGGTCCTCGTCCTCCATGCAGGTGTCCACCACGTACAGGAAGACCAGCGGCATCTGAGGGCCCCGCTGAAGGAAAAAAAAAAAAGAACGCAGCGGCTCGCGTTTCGGGCCCCGGGGCGCGTCTGCTTCCCCCCCCCCCCGTTTACGATTGGGCCCCGCGCCGGTCTCACCTGAACCACGTACTCGATGGTGGAGAAATGAGGCAGCAGCTCGGCAGGCTGGTTCACCTCGGATATCCCGGTGTAAGACGGCGGGAACTGAAACAGAAGACGAACCATACGTCAGCCGCTCCCGATCATGTCCACCCGTCGGCCCGGGGGGGGGAGGACGCTCACCTGGTTCCTCTGGTAGCAGAAGTTGCATGCCCACAGCTTGGCCCTGTAGTCCACCTGACTGGAACACAGAGAAGAAGGACGGGGGACGGGTCACATAGGTGCAGACTAGGCATGGCAAGATTCACCGATGCGTATCGGAACATCGGAACGACCTGTGCGATACGGTTGCATCGATTTGCAAACGTCTGCATCGGTAAAAACCGCACATAAACTCGAGATGCATCGTATAAAACTACCTGCATCGATACAAACCGATTATTATCTTCTATTATTATAACTTTTTAGAAACGTGTCTTTGAGTTTTAGTTGCGTTTCTTTCCATCCCTGTTTCCATTCAGAGAGACAATCACTCTCTAAGTTTCACTTCCTTTGTTTCAAAATAAAAGGCACAATTAGCTTGCGTGCCATAACTTGAACTATGTAGTCCATGGTGTACTTTTCTTCTGCATTGCATCGCATCGTATCGTATCGTATCGCAGCATTTTAAATTTAGATCGTTCTGTATCGCACCGGATCGCAGGAGGTTGGAGAATCGTATCGAATCTTATCACTAGAAATTCCATGAATCGTGAATGTATCGAATCGTTGGCTGTGTATCGAGATGTGTATCGTATCGCCTTGGTGGTGAAGATTCCCATCCCTAGTGCAGACAGGTGTGTGACAGACGGGCGAGGGGCCGTGAGGCGTACCACAGAGGGTTGAGGACGGCGCGGCAGGTGGCGCGGCTGCAGAGGACCGGCTCGTACTGAATGGGGGGCAGGTCGCTCCGCTCCTTCAGCGGCGTGAACAGGGCGGCCACCGGCACCACCATGCGGGTCGCCTCCAGCCGGCTGGACGGCCACACGTTCCAGCTGAAGCGGATGCCGTCGCGCTCCTCGTTCTGGGCGATGTACTCCGGGAAGGTTGCCATGGCAGCGCGCCGAGGTGAAGCAGGGTATCACTGTGGGACAAAAAGGCAGGGACAGTTGGGAGACCTTAACACCTCGATTCAAAGTTTTGTCCATCTGGTCCTGTTTGGGCTGAACCATACTGGAGCTTCTATGGACCAGGCATTAACTGACGCCCCATTTGGAAAGGTTTTATCTCATGCTCATCAGAAATTACACCAAGCTAGTCTGACAGTCTGAGGTGGACCCAGGTGTGTCCTGAGCAACGCCTTAAAAGATAACGCAACTTGTGCAAAGTTTGCCGGAGGCCCGTTTCTCTGCCTGGTTCCTTCTGAGGGTCCGGCAGCCACAGTCACATTTACTCTAACGAGAATTTACTCAAACTCGACACAAGCCGCCGTCCGCTGAGACTGGGACTCCATCAGATACGGATAGTGATGCAGTCCTGGACCAAAACAAGCTACACGGGACACTTTTTTTTTTTTTTTTTTTTACCGTCACGTCTCCGCGCCGTGGGAGCTCAGTCCAACTCTCCAAAACGGCAACGCAAGCGCTAGCGACAGGACACACGGACAGGATAAACTACTGGGGTCCCGGTGACTCCGTGTGTGCGGGGAAAGAAGGGGCAACTTACCGCCGCTCTGACGCCGGGGCTCCTCTCTGCTGACAACGGGGCTCCTCTCTGCTGACAACGTAGCAAAACAATATGGCGGCGGGCGGCGCCACGTCAAGAACACAGAGGGGGGCGCGCGCCGGCAGAGGTCTCACTCTGAGCGGGAAACGGGAGCCCCGCTCGCGCCGTGACGCCCAGGTGCCACGAGCTCACATGCACGAGGAAGGTTAGGCCCCCTGGAGACTAAAACACTACAATTCTGAGATAAAAAGTCAAGATTCTTATTTCAAACTCGGAATTCTGACTTTTCTTTATGACCCTAATCCTCTTCCGTACATACCTGTCTGAAGCAGCCTCTTAACCTCCTGAGACCCGAGCTTTTATTTGGCATGCATTTTAGCTTTTTTTTTAAAGATATATGAGATACATATTTAATTAAATGTTTTTACAATTTTGTTCTGACAGTCCCATTGACTCATTTACAGTTTTTCTATTACACAATAAGAACATGATTGGATGGAAATGTATAAAACCATTTTACTTTAGATTTCAAACAGTGTCTGATAGCATCTGCTATGAGGTCAAGAGGTCAAAGCTGAAAGAAAAAAAGAAGTATCATGGTAAAGAGAGACAAAAATGCAACGTCCTCTTATGAGGACACAGGGTCTCAGGAGGTTAAAACACTGGACGCTTCTCCCACCAACCAAAAACAACAAGTTGTCCTATTATTATTTGAATTGAACTAAATGATCAATGGATATGTAAACTGCCAAAGACACGTCCAGTGGAGTGGAATGAGTACCTCAGGTGAATTTATTCATGAGACATTGGACTTGGGTAGGAGGTCGTCTACTCGAGCTTGTTAAAAAAAGGATTTGGAGCTCTCTCTTATTGCCAAGTATGTGTTCACGTACAAGAAAGGCCAAAACACTAAATGAACTAGATACAGTGTGTAAGGAAAAATACAGTTTGGACAGGGAAAGTATTGCTCAGTTGTACAAAGTAATAATGTGCAGCAAACTGTGTACAGAATGTGTCAAATGTTTTAAGAAAGACCTGTAGCGATGTCACAATAAGGCATTTTCCACACAATCTTGAACTACATATAGGAAGCCATGCTTATTTTGGAGAGTTGCCACGCAGAAATTTGCTAATCAGCATTCTCACCAGACTGGTTAAGATTAAGTTGATATTGTGAAAGCAGCTTTAGGCTAGAAGTTACGCTGGATTCCTCTGTTACCGCACAGGTTATGACAGATGTGCTATTTGAGTAGCCTCCAGGGGAGAGTATTTGATGTTTTAAAAAGTCTACACCTTCAACTATCACGTACAAACTCTGAGGAGACTTCTCCAGGGCCATAAAGTGCCATGGATTCCAACATGGGTCCAGAACTCACCTTCATGTTCTTCGGCATTCCAGTGACTCCCTCACAGTTTTCCATCTTCTGGATTTCCTGGCATCCCTTCTGGTTTTACTAAATCATACTACGGCCTACTACGTATCCCCCTCACACCCGCCAGCTCTCTGTCCTACGGCTGTTGTGTAGTTTGTGCATTTTAATTACCGTTCATTTTGAGTTAAAAAATTAAAGAAATGGTCTTAATGAGGTTGAAGAAAATGTCAGTGACTCATTAGAATGGTTAATCCAAGTAGACCTGAAGAACTGATCATCCAACCGCCTGCAGACTGCTTTTCTACCAATCGAAATAAGCAAACTGTCTGGAGTGTGTTGTTCTTTTTTGCAGGCTTAGGACACACCTGCAAAACTGACTCAGACCCTGCTTTGTAAATCAGGGTCATGTGAGCTCAATCAGTTCTTTACTTGAAAGTAACCTGTGGCATTGCAGAACTCTCTAGAGAACATTGAATTATTCACACAGGCCCACTGATCAAAGGCAAGGTGCCATTCATTGTGCATATGTTGTTCAGGGACACTTTTATACTCCAGCTTCAATTTTAAATCAAAGTATAGCAGTGGAATTAAAAAATGTTGCAATAAAAATGTTTATTACATGACAAAAATACTGTCCCCAACTAACATCCTTTTTCTTTGTCCTCTTCATTATGTGGCATCACCGGATCATAACAGAGTCTACTCTTAAATTTTACATAGAAAGATATTTCACACAACAAAACGAAATGAGGCTTGAAAACAACCTAGCTCATCATCCTGACTCTTTGTCATTTAAAGGATTATTCCATAGTTTCCCCCCCCCCGACAATAACAAGTTGTACAACGTGTTGCAGTCTTCTTTTGAATCTTTAATTTTCCCCTGGAGTTTTTTTTCTAAGCAGGAGAGATTTTGTGTTGGCGTCCCACCTCCTGGAGGCAAAGCATCTCCTCCCCTCCGTTAAGGCAGCTGGTCGGTGGGCGCTCACATGTTGTTGAATCCCATCATGCCTTTCATGTTGCCAGCGGCTCCCTGCTGAAACTGACGCATCATGGACTGAAGGCCCGCCATGCCCCCTGAAAACGCACACAGACGCACACGTTGCTGACCATCCCGATTAGCCCTTTTCACACAGAGGATTTGTCCTTCTGAAAAAAAGGTCTCTGGCTTGCTGTTAAATTGAGATGTCGTGAAGATGGGAGGTTAGCGTGGTCTTACCCATATGGTGGAGGACTCTAGGATCCATCATTTTGGCCATCTGCTGGTTTAGTTTGGCCATTTGAGATGGGTTGACATTCTTTGACATATCTCCTCCTGAAAGCACCAAATATCGCAATCAATTCAGCCCCACATAGGTTTACTGCACCCAACTGTTCTCATCTTTCACAATGACTTAAATGAGACGGCTTACCTTTGAAGAGTCCTTTGATGCCTCCCATCTTCTTGACCATTTGAGCAAACTTGGTGTACTGGGTGAGCAGTTCCTGGACGTCTCTGGTAGCCACCCCCGAACCTCTGGCCACCCTCTGAATCCTGTTTGGCTGCTTGCTGAACAGCTTCGCTCCGTCTTTGCTGTCCAGTTCTGTAGAGCAAAATCAAAGAAGAAGCCATTCTGTTTTCCTGTTTAAGGGTAGGAACGTGTTAGACCACATCCAGATTTGCATTAGTTTGAAAGGTGTAGATACTTTCACTTCTTAAAATGTGTGTGGGTGGAGATCAAAAGGTCTACCAGAATGGGCCAGCAACGGTGCATTACCCTGATCGTTCATGCTGTCCATGATGGTCATCAGTTTCTTCAGTCTGGCCATTGATTCCTGTTCGTTTCCTTTACTCATAAAGTCTGTCCCGAAACCTGGAATCATACCCTGAACACAATGCAGACACACAGTGTCATCATATCTTCTTTCAGTCTCTTCAGAGTGGAAATATATGCACTCAAAAGATTCTTTTTTTAAGCATAAAATGGACCACTCAGCCTGGATATAGAATTAATTGTTCTCCCACCTAAAACAGCTTAGCTTCCAGCTAAAGATGTTATCAGTTCTTGTATAGCAAGAGGTCATGTAAACAAATAAATAAACAGTGTGCAGTACATAGTCCATAGTGCGAAACAAATTGTGTCTACTGACAAAGACCAAACTATAGATGTGCTATTAAGGGTCTGGACACAATCCTATAAGATGGATTCAAATCCTAAGAGAAGCCACATCGGGTGTGCTGCAGGTGCTCACCATTATCTGTCCAAAGGGCCCCATCTTCATGATGTTCTGGAACTGCTCGTACATGTCTCTGAGGGTGAACTGACCTTAGGGCAGAGGTCTGGGGTTAGTCTGGGGTTAGTCGTGGGCCCCCGCTGTGCTTCGGGCAGAATGCTGCCTTTAGCTCCTTACCATGTTTGAGCTTGTCGATCAGCTCCTCGTTGTCGTCCAGCTTCAGCTCGTTCACCCTGTCGATCAACCCTTCGATGTCGCCCATTCCTGGTAGGAAGAGCAGGTTTCAGAGGAGAATGACCACCGGATCCTATCAGTTTAGTGGCTGTGTAACGCACTGTAGCTTTACAGGTTTCAGCAAATACTCTCCCGTTCATTCAACGGCCACTTTTTCTTATCCGTCATTTCAGATTTATAAGACTGAACATGGAACAAGTCCTCGATAGTGGTCATCCATCATATTCTACAGCCCGGTGTCGTTAGACATGAGTCAGCAGATTATCGTGCCCTGCCCAAAGACAATCTCTGACGGTTTTAAACTGACTTCTGTGCCACGTTTTGATACATTTGGGCAGGCACGCTGCTCATTTAGAGGTCCATCACTGAGAGAAGCTCCAACGTCTTCTCCAGCAAATGGCATCCGGCTTCTGAGTGCATCAGAGATACTATGAGGTCAGCAGTTAGAAGTATTTAGCAAACCTGGCTCTGATCAGTACTAGGCACAGTTGCCCTTTTAACAGACCAGCTTTGAGGTTTCACATGCAGGCTCTGAGACTAACTCGCGGGGATCAAATTCAGCTTTTATCTGTTGGAGAGCATTCTGGTCAGGGCCCAAGCAAAGACAGAAGTATTTGCTAGTTTGTCTCTCTCCTTTTGTGTGTTTGCCGTGGCTCTCAGTAGTAGTACAAACAAAGATTCTGTGACTAAAAATTACAGAAGGCTACTACCACAGATTAAATATGGTGGGGAAAATGTGTCTGGGCCAGGAGTTGGACGCTTAACCGAGATGTAAACAGCAGCTTTAGGGCAGTTTCCAAAAATAAAGCAGCCCTGTTTTGGACGGGGTCAGGCAAGAGAACCAAATTGTGTTTTATTGTGTCTCACATATTACAGAGTTGGACAACAGCTAGCAGCGTGATCCGGACATTTTGTACCCACTTCTTCACCACAGCTAGAGCTGCACTGATGCTGGAATACGCTGAAATAACATAATCGATCAGAAATGCTCCGCACCGAGTCCTGCAAAGGCTGGGTAATCATTTCCTGCTAGTTCTCCAACAGTAAGCACACACAGTTGACTCGGCAGCTGTTTAAACACTGGAACCGGCAGTTTCCGTCACAAAGCCAGCAGTTGGGAGAAGGGACTCCACCAGATGTCCCAACACGAAAAGGGGAGATGCTTACCGAGCAGTTTGCTGATGAAGGGCTGAGTCTTGAACGGCTCAAAGTCGTCGATGTGTTCGCCCGTCCCGATGAAGATGATGGGACTCCTGGTGGCTGCCACGCTGAGAGGGAAAGCAACGATGTTAACTAACGGCTCCTTTCCCACTAGTACCCGCTCAACACGGCTCTACCCTGCACATTGCATTTTCGTCAGGGGCTGGCCCCCTAAACAGTTCTAGATTCAGCACCTACTCAGCCAGGGTTCCATCAAGGCTGAGTGGGGCTGATATTACGTTTTCTATGAGCCTAAACGTGGTTAACTCATTGGCTGCCAAAGAGGTCTATAGACGTCTTTTATGTTTTTCAAGGAGAGTGGCTGGGGGACGATCTGCTAAAGCTTGTCCTTAAATATCAGGCTTCTAGACAGAGTATGTAGTAACAAATTGACCCTCTAGGGGGCAGTGCCACTTTTGATGGGAGATGAGCATAGACTGTAGGCAAATAAGAAAAAGGGAACGGTTCTATGAGAGAACATGTCGCCGGTGAGACGCACGTCGAGGAAGAACGGAATAAGGTAGAAACAATTTTTTTTTCCTGATGAAAGAATAGAGTCTACTCTTTCTTTTGGTGTGTTCGGTGTTTACATAGTCATAGCACAAATTATTCTGTGGGTCTTGAAAAATCAGTCAAAATGCTCCAAAAACTCTGGCAGTCAATGAGTTAATGCCCAACACACGAACCGACACCGCAGATCAGTCGGTGTTGAGTTACTCCGACATCCTTCACTGTGGTCTTGTTCTTGTGTTGTGTATAAACAAATGGCGTCATGGGCCAGTCGGGCTGTCTTTTTGTTCGCCTGCGACTTGAAATGAAAACGACGCCAAAACCCGAGTCGTGTAGAACCACGTAGGGCTGAGCGGGTACTAATGGAAACCGCCCATTGAAGCATTTGGGCATCGTGGTGCTTTCAGAAGCCGGCATCCTTACGCGCTCAGAGCTCCTCCCCCTTTAGCGTGGCCGTCCAGTTTGGTGACGATCACCGACGCCACGTCCACTTTGTCTTTAAAGGCTTTGGCTTGAGACTCACAGGCCTGACCGATAGAAGCGTCCATCACGTATACGATGTTGTCCGGTTGCTGGAGAGAGAGAGGAGAAAAATATTCGGAGCGCACCGAGGCAAGACGGGTGCCTAAATGCATCATTTTGATCGGATCTTAAATGGACTGAAGCCCTAACCCAAACAACTGCCAGAAACAACACATCTAATCTAATCTAATCTTCGATCAGTTCAGGTGCCAGCCCTGGGTAAGGGTGGTGCGTTCAGGTACTAACCACAGCGTTGGACACTTGCAGCATCTCCTCGAACAGCGAGTCTTCCTGTTTGTGTCGGCCACTGGTGTCCACGATGATGATCTCAAAGTTCTCCGATTTGAATTTCTCCACGCCCTCGGAGGCTATCACCACCGGATCCATTTCTGTGTAACTGCACACAACGGTTAACACTCGGGACGGGTACTTGGACGGTATACAGGAGGCTGGCCGTTGGGAAGCGACTCACCTGCCGTAGAAGGGGATTCTAGCTTTGGTGGCGTTTTGTTTCAGCTGATCGAAGGCGCCTGGGAGAAAAGACCAAACAATTTTCAGACAAACGACAATTTTCACCTTCTCGGGCGATTAAACGTGGTGCGGTTTCAAGTCAGGGGGCTGCTACAGGAGCGCCGCGTACCTGCTCTGAAGGTGTCGGCACAGATCAGGCAGGTCTTCCAACCTTTCCTCTGGTAATAGTAAGCCAACTGCAAGTGACAGTAACACAATTTCAAAGCACTCATCTGGGGGCTTCTCTTTCCTTTGATTCATCTGTAGCTGATTTAAGTTTTCAGAAGCTAACCTGCATCCAAGTTACTTAGTGCAGAATTAATATTTGAAACGCACAATTACAAAGGGGCATTAGAAAAGGTTCTTGCTGTGAGAGTAGGTTTTTTAGGGGCCAGGAAACAGTAAAAAGAAAACAAAAGGAAGAATGTCTTCTGGGGGTTTACAAGACCTGTCTCGAGTGTGTGTGGTCACCTTAGAACAGGTTGTGGTTTTGCCACTGCCCTGCAGACCGACAAACATGATGACGTTGTTCTTTCCTTTGGTGGGGGTCCAGGCCTTCACACCGGGGTCCACCAGCTGGAAAAGAAGAAGTCACAGGCTTGAGCCCACATGCCTTCTTAAGTCACATGACCCTCAGTCCGGACTCCCTCTCACTTTGACCAGCTCCTTGAAGACTGCGTGCTGGATCATCCTCCTCTTGTTGAGACCCGAGGCCATCTCCTCCAGGTCTATGGCTGACCTGCAGGGACACAATCCACCGGGCGGGTTACCGCTGCTGCACTGACCACAACTGGACAGGCTTCAGATCCAGAACATGGGACGGGCACCCGGATGGACATGAACTCACTTCACATTCTCTCTCAGCTGTTTGACCAGTTTGATGTTGACGTCGGCCTCCAGCAGAGCAGCGCACACCTCCTTCAACATGGCATTCAAAACCTGAAAAATTCAATTCAATTCAATTTTATTTCTATAGCGCCACATCAAAACGACAGTTGTCTCACAGCGCTTTCCAAACAGAGCAGGTCAGACCATACTCTGAAGTTAATTACAGAAACCCAACAATTCCCACCATGGCCAAGCACTAGGCGACACAGGGAAGGAAAAACTTCCTTTTAACAGGCAGAAACCTGGAGCAGAACCATGGCTCAGGGTGGGCGGCCATCTACCTCGGCCGGTTGGGGGTGAGCGAAAGAGAGGGCAAAAGAGAGAGGGCGAGAGAAGGACAGAGGAAAAACCAAACAAAAACACAACGTGCATTCAACTGGTGAAAATCTAGTCAAAACATCCAGCAGGTTGGGTTGATCTCAATGGTCTGTGAAGTTTTAAGTTAAACTTTAAACCACAAAACGACATTTTGCACCACTATTTGTTATTTCCTCTGTACCCCCCCACCCCCACTACTTTCCCGGTGGGCCAGCGCATCTCATACCTCTTCATTGATGATGGTGGCATTGCTGAGTGACCTCAGCGCCGAGGTGATTTTCCTCCCCAAGTCGGCCAGCACCATGATGGCAGCCTCAAGTACTCTTACAGGAAAGCAAATCGTTAAAGAAAGAAACGTTTATATCGATACCACTTGATAAGGAAAACTAGTAAACATTTACACATTCAGTAAACGTTAACATTTGCGTCAACCTCAAAACGTTTTGCAATGACTGTACGGGTAATGCGTAAAAGCGGTTCTTAAACCGAGTGAAATCCCCCACTTACTCTGTATTAGACCGTTGACAGGAGGGAAGCCCCCCACCCTCAGTGGCTCAGATGACTCAGATGACTGATGCAGGGTCACAGCCAAATGCTTCCTGGGTGGAGGAGTGGAAAAAGATCAGGTGCAGGTCAGGGAATCGTCCAACAAAGGCCATTTCAGACGCCAGAACCACGGCGGGACAAAAAACTAACTGGAAAACATGGCGGCCGGCCGGTGGCCAGACTTCCACCCCGCTGAGCGGGTTTGAGGTGAACTGGACGTGGGACTGAAAGCAAAACAACCCACAAGTGGCTCACAGTCATGGGAACTTCCCCAACAGGTCTGAGAAGACCTGTGATTTCTATAGTATGCACTAAGATATCAAACTGGGACATGGAAAAATAAAAACGTGGACAAATCCTTGATACGCAACTGTAGATTCTTTCACATTTCCAGTGCTTTTTTGTTTTAAAGCAATCTAATGATTACACTACCATGCCGCCCTTTCAAACTATTTAAATGAGCCTGACATTTTGGTTCAGTCTTGGACCCAGAAGGGACACCGGAATGTGTGTAATGAAGCCTTTGTACACACATACACAAGTGATTTTTTATGTTCTTATTTACTGTTCTAGACTGGCATCCTAATACCTTACAGCAAGTCAAAAACCCAAGTCTCGCGATAGCTATCCGTTTACACAGGTGATAATCAGTCCCTCCGGACCGGAGCCGGTCCCAGCTGTCATTGGGCCAGAGGCAGGGCACACCCGGAACCGGGACCCTCGCTGGGACCCACAAC